AATATGTGTTTTTATTGAACAATATGTGTTTTTATTGAACAATATGTTTTTATTGAACAATATGTGTTTTTATTGAACAATGTGTTTTTATTGAGCAATATGTGTTTTTATTTTTTATTATATTGTGGTATTCACATGACTTTATTGTTTGTAGTGTGTTATTTTGTAGAAGAAGATTTGTTTAGAGCACGATGTTCAAGACAAATTTCCCCTTGGGGACAATAAAGTATACATCTATCTATCTACAATACGTACTGTCGACATGACCTTTTGCAATAACACAAGTATAATATATGTCATATAACAACATAACAAATGTCATTGTTCAGCACGAGATGATCTTAATGTAAAACTTTATCCTTAAAGATGGAGGCTGTAGACATTTGTTTGAGACTACTTGGCTTTTGTTGGTTTTGAATTTTCCATCTTCAGTTTTTTTCCTGAGTTCAGTTAATAAATAAAATAGATAAGTGTTTCTTGGTTGTGCACGGCCAGTCTTATGACTTCAGCTATTTGTAACAGTTCTGTGTTCAGATGACTTCCAGGCATGAGCTGAGGTTCTGGTTTATAAAAAACCCACCCCTCCAGTAGAACAGCTGAGCTGTAAACAAACCAGCAGTTTCTGTGTTTCTAAAAGGAGCTCTGTGCTTTTGGGAGATTACTTCCACTAGATGTACATCCACTAGATGCTGAATAATCTCCGAGACCTCCTCCTCCTGTTGAATCCTCAGGACCGCTGCTGGCTGTTGAGCTCCAGGTTGCTCAGGGTCCTGGTGTTTGTTTGGTTGTTGGGCTGTCCAGAGTCTCTGCTCCCAACATGAGTCATGGGGAGCTGACCCAGAGGGAGCAGGAGCTGCTGAGGATTCGGCGGGACAGCGACACCAAAGCCACCGAGCTGGCAAAGATGGAGAAGATGCTGCAGCAGACAAAGGACCTGCTGGATAAGAAGACAGAACTGAGCTCAGAGAGCAAAGGCTACCAGGAAAACATGGGTCTGTAGCATAAAGGTCATATTTTAAAGTCTTCTTGGTGTTTGTGGTGTCTCAACCTGTTGTTGTCACTCGCTGCAGTGGAGGACCTGGAAGAGAGAGTGCGCTCCAGCAGACGCCACAGGAGGAACTCCCTCCATCACACGCAGATGCTGGAGAGCCAGATGAAGACGGTGAGGGGCGAGTTGGTGGGCACGCTGGACCACCTCCAGGAGCTGAGGAACGTCCTGCAGCGCTCGCAGCAGAAGGCGGAGGAGCGCAAAGCTGCCATGGAGAAGCTGGCAGCAGGGTTCAGGTAAACATCCCGGGCCAGCGTCTGACCCTGCCGACCTCCTGGAACCAGATTCTGCTGAAGAGACTTTACACGGACCAGGACACACACACACACACACATGAGGCTGTGGAAGAGGAGGCTTCACCTGCTTTTACTAACAACTTTAGTTTCTAATAGACTGGATCGTTTGCTCTTGTGTTTTCTTAAATGAATCCAAAATATATAAAATAAAAGATTTAGGAAGTAATCCAGTTCTAGACAGCTGCCACATCTGACTGGTCTTCAAAAACACTAAAACAAGTTCAGCTCTATTTTACTGGTACTGAGCTACGATTTGTTTAGGAGCTGAGAATGATCCCCACACATTCTGTGCTGAACTTTCCTCTCTAGATGTTTGAGGAACAGGTTGTCACTAATCTGGGAGTGAAGATGGACCCTTCCATGAAACTAAACAGTCATGTCAACACGATTGTTAATCCTGATCTGTTTTGTTGTTGTTGTTGTTTTCAGTTCAGGTGACTGTCTAAATTGAAGCACATTCTGTCCAAAAGTAACTTTGAGACTGTAATACATGCTTTCATAACATCCAGGTTTGATTACTGCACTGTGCTTCTTTCTGGAATCACTCAGACCTCCAATGCACATTTACAACTGGTCCAAAATGCTGCAGCCTGATTTTTAACTGGTACAGGCAAGAGAGCACTTTTCTCCAGTTTTGGCTTCCCTTTACTGGCTCCCATTTCACTTCCAAATTTAATTTAAAATCCTTTAATATGTTTGTAAATCTCTTAATAGTTCTGCCCCCTGTTATCTTGCTGATCTGCTGCAGCCATATGTCCCACAGCCTCTCTGAGGTCAGCAGACCAGATGATTTTATGAGTTCCACGCACTCGTATGAAGCTCAGAGGTGACAGAGCTTTCTCTGTTGCAGGTCCAGAACTGTGGAACAAGTCTGGCAGGCTCCCCCACTCACTGTTTTTAAGTCTTGTTTAAAACAAAAAACACTTTTATTCCCTGGTGTTCGATCCAGTGTGAGCTGATGTTAATGTATCTGTATTCTGTAATGTTAGCCATTTAGTTCTTATCTTTACCTCTGTGTATTTATGTACTTTATCCTGTGTTCTTTCCTTGTTTAGTTTTGTTGTACAGAACTTTGGTTGGCCTTGTTGCTGTTTTTAAATGATTTATAAATAAAGTGGTATGGTATGGTATGGTATGGTATGGTATGGTATGGTATGGTATG